AAAATTAAGATCTAAAATATAAATTATAAATTACATCTGCAAATATTATTTGTTATTGGATTTCTATCCCCCTTTTCATCAATATCATTATCAGCCACAAAATGTTCATATCAATCAGGTCTTACTAGGAATATCATATGACAAATATCACTATAGATGGTCATATAGTCCCTCTGTCTACTCTGTGAAAAGAAACTGACTCCTATGACACCATTTTACATCTACACTGGCTCAAAAGACATGTTTTTCAGAACAAGAGCTTGTAATACATCAGCTTGTAATACTGTCATCACTGAGCATGGTGGTTCTGAAAAAATGAAAGTATATTCATATATATCATCCCTGCAGAAAGGCTGACCTAGCCTCTAAAATGAAACCAGTTGGAGGCTACAGTTGAGTTCGAACACTGTGCTTATATTCTCACAAATCTGTCAGATCTTATTAGTTTTATCGGTTCCACACTGCCAACCAAAAAAGGAGGGACAATTCAAGGCTCTTAGGGGCCTACAAATGATGTTTTATGTTCTCTCTGTTTTTATTTTATTTTATTCATTCTGTAATTTGGATTTTTACATTTTTGCCTTCTGTTACATTGTGTATTACATTGTGTATTACTAAAATTATAAAATATATTAAATAAATTAAAATGCCACAGTAACTTATTAGTGCAGTAAATATTGTCAATCAAAAAATAAAAAATCTACAAAAAGTAGGTTAATGGTCAGTTAGTTTTATAATCATTAGTTGTTTTGTTTATTATTTTAGGCATATGCTCATCCCCAAAGCTACTTTTCCCCATAGCAGTTAACAACTTAAATAACTTCAACTGGTTTCTTGTGAAAACAGTGTCTGGTGATTGGTCTGGCAGCAGGTCTGGGGAGAGAGCCTACTCTCATTTTCTGTTATGGTCTGACCCTTGATTGGGTTGTGACAAGTGAGAATTTTTTGGACCAGTATTTTGGACCAGTTCTACTGGTCAATTCACCATGCAATTTTGGCACAATTTACAGGACACCTGCTGTGCTTAAATAATGCAATTTGTTTTTCTTTTGGACAGTGCCTGTATACTAAAAATTGAAACCCTCGACATTAGTGAACATACTGTATAAAGTAAACTAAATAAAAAAGTGCTTTGTAATTAAGAGAAAAAAAATGGATAGGTAGCAAGGGGTTTGTAAACCCACTTTGACCTGTATTTATAAGGATAAGGTATAAGGACAAAATATTTAATGTTTTATCTTACCAATTACTTTTTTTTTGTAAATAACGTTTTGAAATTGACACCAGCATCATGTTCCAAAAAGTTGGCATGTGGCAATTTAAGACATTAAGACAGGAACATTTTGTAACGTACAGAAAATATGCTCGGGTATAAAAGGAGTATCCTTGAAAAGCCTAGTCCTTTATGAGAAAGGATGAGTCGAGGCTCGCACTTTGCCAAAAAATGCATCAGCAAATAGCAAATGTTCCTCTATGGTGCATTTTGCATATATAATACATAAAAATGCCTGTGATCTTTGATCCCTCAGATGGCACTGCATTAAAAATGGCTTGTTTCTGTGATAGATATCACCATATGGGCTCTGGAATACTTTGACAAACTGTGCAAAATGCCAATACTAGGGACAGCAAAAGCAATTTGTCAACAATGTCCAAAAACATTGCTGACTTCTCTGGGCTTGAGCTCATCTGAAATGAACCAATGCACTGTGGAAATGTGTACTGTGGTCTGTTGAGTCAACCTTTCAGACTGCTCATGGAAATAATGGACATTCTCTTTGGGCCAAAGTAAAGGCACATCTAGATTGTTACCAGTGTATGGTATGGGGGGGATTAGTGCCCATGGAATGGGTAACTTGCACATCAGTGAAAGCACCATTAACACTGAATAATATATACACATTTTGTAGCAACATATGCTTTTAGATGCCGTCTTTTTTAGGGACATCTATGCTTATTCAAAAATCACAATAGCCACATTTACATGCTGCCTAATAATCTGCTAATAATCCAAATAATAGCTCAATTGGAATAGACTAGTCCGATTGAGGCCATTTGGAATACAGTGTCTATCCGATTGAACAAGGTGGGTAATCCTGTAAATAATCAGTTAAACAGAAGAATAATAGCCATGTAAACGCCTGTATCCAATTACGTTTCCGATCGGAACGTGTAAGTACGTTCTGCGCATGTGTGTTTGCATCATAGCAAAGGTTTATAATGTTCAACATGGCGGGAGCAGAAACTGGTCTGCAGAGGAGACGGAGTTTATGTCTGATCTTTAAAAGATGGCGGTGTGACAGGCGTCCAGCTTATGTGTCTCAGAACATGACGTTTCTTAATAAGTACATGTGAGGTTCATTTGTCTGAGTCAGTCATAATTTTAAAGCACTTAAAAACACAAGCGTGCCAACTGAAAACTCATTTCACTCTGACTGGATCTTACGTGATGTTCGCTGTCATGGTAACGTTTACTCTAAATGGTACTCCACGCATGCACGTCATTTTGGATCGGATTACTTGTAGTGCGCATGTAAACGAAGATTTTCCATTAGATTGTTGAGTAGAGTGAAATTTAGACAAACAATTATCGTCTCCAAAATTATCGCGATAAACAATATTATCGTGTTAAAAATTAATTTACGAAGAAAACCTAAGTGAGTGGGCCTTTCAGTCACATGATCATTTTACTGCAGCCTATGTAAGTGAACTGCTGCATCTCAGTGGAACAGCAAAGGAGAATTATAGCAGTGAATCTTAATTCTGGAAAAAACAATGTTCAAAGAAATAATAATAATAATAATTATTATTATTATTATTATGATTATAGTCTTTAACAACCTAGATTGTTTCATTCACAATTAACATTATTATACATCTCAGGCACCGCTGTCTTGCTGAAGTACTCACAGCTTGGCAGCTCGTACTGTGGATTCAAGGTCTGTATTGCTGCCTTTGGCCTTTCGGTTCTCTGTGTTTGTCTGGTTGGAAACCAAAATATTACCAAACGGGCGCGGTAACACCCTTCTTCTGTAATTGCTCATCCATTTTTCACTGTCTAGGGAGAAGGTCACATGTAGAGTGTTTCATTTGCTTATACCCAGCATTCTTTGCCAGACTTAAACACTACATTCTAATCTTTTCCAGTGGCGTTTTAGAAACGTATATTTGTAGTTAATTAGTTATGTTTGCATGGTCTATACTTAAATGCCGTCTTTTCTGTTATAGCTAAGGTCTAAAATTTTAATCTACCATGTTCAAAACTTGACCAGTTTGTGTCTTCAGTCCCCAAATATTTGTTTTGTGCTGTTAAAAGGAAAGCCGATGTAACACACTGGTAAACATGCTTCTGTCCCAACTTTTTTGGTATGTTACAGGCACCATATGTGGAATTAGCACATATTTACCAAAAAATATATCATACAATACAGGTCAAACAGAATTTACTAATCATTGCTTTCTGTTTTTATTGACATTTCACATATGAGCCTTGTGTAAGCAACTGACCATCTGATTCATGATACCCATTGGGGTATGCTCAGTCCTAAACTTTGCTGACAGCGATTCATTTTTCAGCTTTTCTGACGGTTTGATATTTAGGTTGGCTGGTGTTTTGACATACTGTTTGCTAACCTAGCCTAGTACATCACTACTGTGACTTTCAGTAAGTAAAATGTTTAAAGCAGATGTGTTTACATCAAACTATTGCAGTTAATAATATGGAAAAAATGTCATTCCGTGTTTATATGGAAATTCTATTTTCATATGTGAATTCCATAAAATCCTCTCAGACTCCACAAAAGGACTTTACACTGTCTAACTTGTTTAGAGTGTTTCTGAGGCCTCCTCACAATACAAACTACTATACGCTGAGGTCTGGAGCCTCCAACCTTCAGGCTGTCCTGTGGATAAAGGTATGCGCAGTGGGGGGGGACAACACATCTGCCATCTAAACTCCTCCTGTCGAATAAGTTTCCTCAACCTGTTTGGACTTCAGCAGTGCGAGCTGCTTTTAGATAATATCCAAAATCACTACTGGTTAGGGCTAGAATTACTATGGACCATTAATTTACCTTCAGACATGACTGAAATAAGTCTGTTGGTGAGTCTCCAGTACCTCATGTTGTTTTAAAGTGCAGACAGAAACTTGATGCTCCTCAGACCACCTAAGCTTGTTCCTGACATACTTAACATGATTTGCTGCCACACTGAATGCCTCAAACATCATTCTGGTAACTGAGTACTAGAGAACCTGGCAGAAAAAGGAACAAGCGGATGTGCATATTTTGCTAAAACATGAAACATCTCCAGTGTTTTAGTTTTGTAACACTTCTGGAAAACTGGAGTCATCCCACCTCAGTCTTGCAATGTTCTAATAAGTAGCCACTTTGTCATTGGTTACTTGAAACATAAGCAATAATTCACAAGATGTGTAAGCAAAGAAGTCTCTCCAGCACTTCATTATAGGAGCCATTGAAACTTGATGGAGCCTGAGCTGTTGTCAGAACCACAAAGAGACCATCTGCACTAGTGAAAGTTAACGGTAAGAGATGGAACTTGACAAATCTAAAGATAAACTTTAAAAGACTGCCTAAAAGTCTTTCACAGTTTGGCCTGCGTAAAAAAAAGCATGACTCTACTTCACCCCCACAAAATGTGGGAAAAAGCACTTTCTGAAAAAGGTGAAACTAGAGAGGTCTGTTCACGCCAATGCCCCTCAAATGGGCTAATGATGTTAGCATATGGTTACAGAGAAAGCAATGCTAGAAGCTGGGACATGACCCCACGTTCATTACAATCATCTGCTTTAGCCATACAGCCTAACCTACCTTTCAAATACCTCCACAACACCAAAGAGAAAACAAAACATAATCAGGGCTTGTACACGGTTTGTCCATTTGTGAGGGAATCCAAACGGAAGAGACACCTCATGGTGCCAAATGCTCACAGCCAAACAGTGTATGCTGCTACTGGGTGGTCAGGAATTGTGAGCTACTCACCGAACCTCTTGTAGCCAAAGGATTGCACTTCCTCTTCATCATTGAAGTCGTCTGCCGAAAGATAGAATGACAATAATGTTAGACAGCTGTTCCAACTCCACTGCAAGGCGTTCATATGGAACTAAAAGCACCATGATCGAGTGAATTCAACACTAGTATGAAACAAAAATCTTGTCAACAATAAAAGGTACCTGAAATAATGTGAAAGAGAATGTGTATCCAATGCAAACAAAATGGGCTTGGAAATGTCCAAAGCCCAAATCGTCAAACTGAAGTCTCATTTCAGCAAACCAATAATAAAATAAACAGGACTTGTCTGGCTTGTTCTCAAGTGAAAACTGCCAGTGTTGGCTGACTAATAACAGTGTTATTATTCCATGGTCTCAAATACTTTGCTTAAGCCTGTGGTCTCCTGTTGTGAACCTGACTATTGAAACAACACCAGCTAGAAAATCAATTCTCAGGTTAACAAAATGACACCATCCTCATTTCCTGCTCTGACTTTAAAGTTGAGTATAGAGTCCTTCAAAACAGCCAATCCAGTGCCACATACATAGGGTTGACTCCAGGTGGTTTTATGTGTCACTGCTGGATCAGACCTGCAGGTGGGTGGTGGAAGAGTCTGGTGAAAAGACTTGCAGAGAGTGACCCCAAGCCTAATGCAGCCCCTTTCCACGTTCAAACAAACTCACACATTCACTACACAAACGTACACACAGAGCCCAGTACAGACAGTGCTTTTAATCTTATGAGATGAACAAAACAAACAAAGTGGGCGTGAGTAGGGGGTCAAGCTTTTTCATTTAGTTAAACCATAAAATACAAACTTTGGCCTTAAAAATAAAAGATTGCTTAAAAACGTGTAGTAGTGCTGCCCACGTGCTGAGAGATCCCACATGAACTGACCACGATCCTCAGCAGGACAATGATTCTGCTTTTTTTTGTTTCTTCAAGGGCCCATGTGATGAAAAACAATTTTTCCCTCACGTTTCTGAAATAAAAGAGTTTTTTGTATGTAGCATGTAAATGCTGGTATTATGGTGTACGTTCACTCCCCAATCAATACAGTTCACAATGATACAGTGCAAATGTAAGGAGTGTTTTAAGGAAGTTACAAGGAGTGTTTCAGCTTGGACTGCTTTTTAATTGAGGCACAATACAGAGCAGCCAGAGGTCATTTACATATAGTTGGACACAAAAGTTTGGGTGCCTCTTATCAGAAGTTATGATGATTTTCTACATTAAATAAAGTCTCCTACACTTCTGCACATTTAATACACAATGACTGTTTACATATTGGAAAAATACAACATAAATTGAGGCCTATACAAAAGTTATGGCACAATTTTATGTTTTATTTTGTTTCCAATATTTTAAACTCAGCAAATAAACTGAAATTGTGCACTAAAATGTGCACAAAATGTCTATGTAGCAGGATGGGTTAACATAACAACTAAATGTAATTTAAAACTCAAAAAAAGTTTTGCATATGACGGAATATCAGTAAGATAAAAAGTCTGTTTAATTATTAGAGAGTTGTTTATATATGTTTTTGGTACATAAAATTACACAGATGTCATAAGTGGACTGTTACTGACACTTTGTTTTTGAGTACCCCACACATCTGCAGGTGTTACATGAACATGTAGAGTGCAAGCGAAGACCACTTGAGTTTGATAGTGTTAAAGCAGCATTCCCCACGAAAACCATAATTTATTTACAATGAAGTCACTTTAAAGGAATTCAGTCAACATGGCCAGTGCACTATGTGAATGGACCACAAAAAGAAGGCAGCGGTGAATTAAGCCAGGTGAAGTGTGGAAGAAAAGGTTGGTTTTCTCCAAGTTTAGAACTCTGAAACAGATGAATGCTAACTCAGAACAGATGAGTACTTCAAGAATATACAATTCGTTTATCAGTTTCCTGGGTTTTAACCTTCAGTTCTTGCCAAGGCGATGTGAATGTCTGGCATTCGCTTCTGTTGTCACCGCATCACCACATCACATGGGTACTTACTCACTGTTAGCTCCCTGGGTCCTGCAACAGAGTATCTCAGAAATATTTGCAAACTTTTATAACTTTTCAGGACACGATTTCTTTAGAGAAGGAGATCACATACTAAATTACGGGCAATGCATAGAACGTCCTTTTCATTTTCTTCTGCTAAGTATATGTAAATGCACGTCTGGCTGGATGCTTTTCTTGGTTTTAAAGAAAATGAACTACCTGACCTTTAATTTGTGTTAGACCAAATAAAACCATCTCTCATAGGTAAACTGTATACTCACCAGAAACAAACATTTACCCAACAACCACAGCTTGAAACCTCTACTCCACGTAGGCCTATCTGCCAGTAACAAATGCTTTGGATAAAACTGCATAGCTTAGTATTTTCCTTCCTCAGCTTCACTGTTTACCAGCAAACACAGTGAATGCTGGTGGAAAGTACAAGAATAAGAAACTAATTCATTTCACTATCAAGTATGAGCACAGAACATCAGAAGGACAAAACTGTACACTGGGTTGAGTACAGATACACTATATGTTCAAATGTTTGTAGACACCTCCACATACAATATTTTAGGGTATTAATAGGGAGTTTGCTATCACCCCCTGCTCCCTTTGCTGCAATAACAGCCTCTACTTTGTTGTGAAGCCTTTAAACTAGATGTTTGAACATTGCTGTGAGGATTTGACTGCATTTAGCTACAAGAGTATTAGTTAGGTCAGCTACTGATGTTAAATGATGAGTTCTAGATCACAAACTCCACTTCAAGTCATCTCCAAGGTACTGCATGGAGGCCCATCACTCCAGAGAAGCTCCATAGAGGTAGTTCCACGGCCCAATGCTGGGAGGCTTTATACCCTTCTAGGAGACACTTGGCATTGGGCATGGTGATCTTAGGCTCCTGTGCGGCTGCTCAAGCGTGTCCCTTGGAGATTACACAAGCTGTGCACGCAACTGAACATCTGTGTCAGCAATTGTTGTACTTTAAAGGCCCAATCCCATTTTACCCCTTGCCCCTACCATCTAGCCCTACACCTCTGTTTTTGCTGAGATAGAGGGGTAGGGCAAAGTGTTAGGGCTACATGGCCCTCCAAATGGGATGTGTTATGAGAAAAAAAGAAAAACCGGCAAGATGGCTGCACAAGTGACTAAAGAAACCCCCTGTACCCAATGTAAGTATTTTCTCAATGACAAGCATAAAATATTGCTAGGAGTACCCTGATGTCTTGGTAGCTAGCTACCTGAATTTCCCGTTCCACCTTAAATGGTGCAACAGAATGCCAGAATGTAACTGCATCACCATTTAAGGTGGAATGGGAAAATGTGCACAAGAAGCTGGCGAATAGCTGCCTTCAGCTTCATATCACCAAAGGATTAGGGGTGGGTGATAATAAATAATTGTTGCATCTTTCCCTCGTTGAAGGCCTAAATTAAACTAAAGACCAGCAGTGAGGTTGCCGCTCCTCTGCTACCACTGCAGCCTGGCAGGGTTGCCTACAGAGCAACACTAGGCTGTTAATGAAGTAATGTTCTTTTTTATTTGAGGGTTGTCCAATTTCGTAGAGGAAAATTTCAACTGCGTTACAAGGGCCAAGGTGACACTCTAAAACAAGGGGTGGGGTAAAAATAAGAAGTAGGTGTCTTAGAAGGGGTGTCTGAATACTTCTGGACATGTAGATCCAGATGTAGGCTATATATGAGCGCACCTACAATGTACCTGAATTTAATGTTTGATTTACCAATCAGCTTATCATGCAAACTGCGCGTAGCCCCAGACGCTAACTGCTCACTTGTGTGTGCAGGGTTTAAAAGGCATGGAGTGAAATAATAGATAATCAGCATACTCCAGAAAAGAAAATGAAAGTTCAGTGATGAAGAGATAAATGTGTTAATAAATTAAGCTATTTCCCAGCAAAGTGCCTTACCAGATGTTATTTCACTGCGGCTAAAAAAATAGAATATTACATGGGATATTTTGCGCTGCATCTTCTCACATAAATACATACACTACAAATAGTGTTATTCTGATGGCGAACATTCTTTCACCACATGTTCTCAGATCCACATGCTCCGGCCTCCCTCTGCTGCATCTGTTAAAGGAAGTCTCTCAACAGCAAGTCTTTTAAGACCCTAACTGGTTTTTAAAAAGTGGAGGAAAATCCACACAAACCCAGCCACCACAAGTTGCTCAAACTTTACTAAATCAAGTGCAACATATAATCAGCTGCACTAAAATCTTAGTGGTGAGTGATATTGCAAAACATATAATATGATGATACTTCAAGCAATTTTCACAATACACGATATGTGCATATGTTTTTTCTGACATCTGATATGTTGCAACAGGTAAAAAAGGAATCAGTAGTGCCACATTTAAAAAATGTATATCAAAAACTTCCAAGTACAAACAAAGCTGGTCAACGTAAATACTGACGATATCCAGGATAATAAAAACTTAGTTACATATTGTGACAGCATTTATCATGATGTGATAAATATTATCATACTGTCCAGGACTACGACATCTCTATCCACTTTCGGCACAATCTTTCCTTGTTTTTGCTGCCCTCTTTAAAATGCATATGTGTGAGAAGGAGAAGTGCATTTTGCACTTTACTATGCATCTGCGCCTAAAACTGGTGCAAAAACTTAGTGCATAGTGTATCTGGATATCACACCCCAGAGATGCAGTAAGTGTAGTTTTAAGGCTTTGTGTGTATTTTCCACTAGACGGCAGTACAGAGATCATTGGCAATGCAATAGTGCAACTCATAAAACCTAAAATGATGCTACAGTAAAGAATGTAAACATACAATGTGGAATTTCGGTCAGACATGAATAGTCATTTTTTTACTATTTTGCCAAAGAGCTTGAGAGCCTTCTCATTCATGTAAAATGAGAGGAGACACAAGCATTATGATTTTGTGTTATTTTACTTAACACATACATTATAATTAGCCATTTCCGTCCAGAGGAAATATGCTGAAGCTATCATTTCACCGCCCCATGTGTCAGTTTTAGCAAAGACCAAGTCGCATTTAATCAGTCTAACAAAATAGAAGCTTCCCAGCCCTCCTTCATGGTAAATTACATCAGGGTTGAGAACACACTGAAGGTTTTCTTTTAATTATATAATCCTGACTCACTATTTTCCACTCTCCACACAACGTTTACCTAGCCTCACAGTTTAGAGCACACTGTGTCTCACTGGGGGGAAGAGAAAGGCAGATGCTACTCGCTTGTGGCTCTGAACAGTGTATGTTTGGACTAATATATACAGAGACCCCAAAAAGTACTTGGATATTTGTGCCAAACTTAAAAACAAAATGTCAAACCAAATACATTTATTTTTAACAGTATCATTTTCATTTAGGAAAGGTATTCTTATATGAGGGGCAGCTGGCATGTTGCATACTGTTACCGTTTCTTTGCAAACTTTTGCAGGTTTGCAACCAAAATGGCTTTGTACACCTCTGAGTCATGATCTCATCGTGGACACAAGCTCACCAGCACCTAGAGGTGGGCAAAATGGCATAAATATGATACTATGATACTTCAAGAAACTTTCATGATTCATGAAGTGTCACATCTGATCAGCTGGGACAGAGAAAAAAAGAATATCAAAAACTGTCAACACAATGATTTTTTGTGTTGCATTAAATCCAGTTAAATGGGACTAATTTTGCTCTCTTTATAGTGAAACATGCACTTGGTCAGTGCTCTACAACACTCACCAAGTGTTTTATGTGACATAATTTATCACGATAACAATATTTACTGCGATCCTGCCCAGCCCTACCAACAACACTGTAAGGAAAACGACCTCAGATTTGGACCTTTCCCACTTTGTGCTTTGCAGTACTTTTAATACTGTAAAGGTTCAGGCTTCCTCCACAGGTCATCTGTTCTGAACATTACAGTCTGCAAAGGTGGGGGATAACTTTATTTTTCTGTGTTAAAGAAAAAAACGTATCCCTGAGTAAATACATTATACATGTTTTATAGAGAGATGCTGAAAATATATCCATTTTAGTCAGGAGAAATGGCAATTACCTATATTTTGATACGTGAATTGAAAGCCTAAGATAAGTAATGCTAGCAAGCAAACATGAAGTAAATACAAATTTGTGTCATGATGTGGGTGGGGTGGTGGGCACATTGATTTTGGTTGGCACATGGTCAGCCTGCCCAAGTTTAGGGCTGTTGTCAAAAACATATTGTCACTGTCAGAACAAAACCTCATATCTCTTCAACACTTTCCAGAAAAAGGGAAAAAAATATTCTTAACTTGTAATGGAAGGTACTAGAATGCAGTCTTTACATTAAATCTACATTAAATGTGTAACAAATTGTTCTTCTCTAAGTTGTAGGCCATTTGACAATAAGTGAGTCGACCTCAACATGAAAAAACATACCTCTGAACTACATGTGAATATACTGAACATAAAGTATAAATTGAGGACATCTACTTTCACACAAGTAATATTTTTGAAGGGTATCTCTGCTTTCACTCTTGTACAGCTGTGTAATTTGTCCACCACTGTTCAATGCAAAAATGTTTTATTAATTCAAAAACGTTACTTGGTTGCTATTTAACCTTTATATTTCCGGTTTGGTTTAAATTAAAAGCTCTAATTATTTCTAGTCATGGCTTCATTCTTTGAAATTCTAGCTTCTTAACATTAGGCCGACCATCCCCATAAAATGTGTTAACCATTCACATATTGGGGCTGGTTTGCACATGAATTTGGTCATGAATAATTCCAGGGAAATACTTCCTGACATTGAAAGTACCTGTTTTTAACAAAAATGTTCAGCTTTTGTTTGCTGCTAGTTGGTTTATCCTAATGTATGGTATACACAACAGAGCGTTAAAGCTGTGCCATCCAACAGTGCTTTTTCCTACCTTAAAGACTCTTATGATGTTTGGGTGAGTTTATATATGGAAAAACAGTTCATTTTACATTACATCTAAAAATAATTCATTTTACATGACCATTTTCTAGCCTCTCTTTATCCTGTAGAATTAAACAGGCTGTTTTTGTTACTGTGCCTTTACGACTGATATGTGTAAATGACCTCTGTTCTGATTGATTGCCTCGCTTTGTGTCTCATTCAAAGAGCAGCCCAGGTTGAAACACTCCTTAGAACTTCAACATGAGTGAGCGTCGTACTGCTGTAGGCTGAATAGACATATGTGTGTGTGTGTGTCACTATACACCTTTTACAGAGAGATACTGAAAATATATCTATTCAGTAGAAATGGCATTCACCTATTTTTTGGTATATAATTTAAAAGCCAAGGATAAGAAGTACACTGTTAGAAATGAAGGTATTCTGCAGGTACATTTTTCATTCATCAAGGCACAAACAATGTAAATGTACCCTCAACGGTACAACAGAGGTTTTAAGGTCCAACTGTGAACCTTAAATAAGTTTTTCCCAGCTGAAAAGTACATATATGTACCTATTCATAACCTAATTTTTAGAAATAAAACAATAAAACAGCCTGGAGACAAGGTGGGGTGTGTGGAGTTAATACAACTTAGAAAATATCATTTCATTGGATTATGGTACAATTATGTGCTCTGACTAAGGGTACTGAGATGTACCCTTGAGGGTGCCACCCCAGTGACAGTTTCATACCTTTTTTCTGAGAGTGTAATGTGAAGTGTAGATTTGTGTCCTGGTGTGCGTGGGAGGGGTTGGCACATTGATTTTGAGGTTGATTGGCACATGGTCAACCTGTTTAGGGCTTCTGTCAAAAACATATTGCTTTCGGAACAGAATTAAACAGGCTGTTTTTGTTACTGTGCCTTAAAGACTGATATATGTAAATAACCGCTGTTCTGATTGATTGCTTTGCATTCTGCCTTCAACATGAGTGGGCAGGGCTACTGCTGTAGGCCGAATAAACATTTATGTGTATGTGTGTGTGTGTGTGTGTGTGTGTGTGTGTGAGACAATACAAAAAACAATAAATTCAAAACAGGTTTTAATATCAAAAAAGTGAGTTAAAAAATAATAATGATCTTATGCCCTTTGAAGTTTACTGATGGCTACTTTTGGAAGCCACTATGAATAAATCAGCGTAAAAAAGTAACATAAAGGCTCAGAGCTATATACGAACTCATAAAGGCCTCTTCCAGAAGGGGCCAGATGTTGCTCTTCCAGCACATCCCTGGCTTTATTTTTCTCTGTGTGGACTATAAAAAATAGTCATAGCACGTGTAAACAGCTCACAACGTGACCGGGTCAGTCAGAGAGAAGTTGTGTGTGAGTGCAGATATTTTTTGTATTGAACTGTCTGAAATCTGGCAGTGCGACCAAACACACGCACACACGGCCAACCGACCCTGACACGCACGGGTTTAATGGGAACCAGATGCTGGTCCACACAGGAGTGACAGACATTCCTCTCACAACGAGAAAAAAAAGGAGACCCAGAGTTCTCCACCTCACTATATTCACCCAGTACAACACAGGATAGGCACGCGTTTAAAACTGGAGACTTTTTTTGTGCGAACTAGTGGATAAACTCACCCTTCATCGTGGTAAATGGTGAAGCTGCACCGTTGCTAATCGAGGTTGGCGCCACTGCTCACATCAACTTCATGGCAACAGCAGCCTATTGGCTGAAGAACGGCGCTCGAGCGCAAACAAAAAACAACAAACAAGAAGCAGCGGCAGAGAAAGTTCTCGCAACTTCTTCGCTTCTCTTCGGTTTCAACGTCACGAGTGTGTCAAGTAGTCCACCTGAGCCGTGTGGAGCTTTTCTTGGTCCCCGTGTTCAAACGTTTGCAGGAATTCGTAAAAAGCCGGCAGCCAACGTGAATAAACAGGTTTAAAGTATGAAGATCTTCCTCTCCTCCATAGAAATGTATCCGCGGTGAGTAAAGAGCTGAGGTAGGCTGAGCTGAGTGAGGATGGATACCTTCTCTCCTGGCTGCAGCCCAAAGCACCAGAGTGAGGAAAAAAAGGCAGTAGGAAGTTTAGAGTCCGCAGGGTGTCTGTTGGACCACTTGTTTTTTTTTTTACCTCTGAGTGAAGCTCTCTGCTTGTTGGTTCTTAAAGGAGAACCAGGTGAAAAGCGAGGGGCGTTGTGAGCTCAGTGTGTCTGAGAGGAGGCTGAGCATCTGGAGTTAAATTAGGGGAGGAGACAAACGCAGCGCTGAGCTCTGGGGGGCTGAAGACTACAGGCAAACTCAAATACCACCCTCAACAAAACCTCCCCATTTTAACACCTACAGTCTTCAGCTCACTTTAACAGTGCTGTATTAACTCAACCAGTGCTGAATTTACTCTCACAGTGAAGTGTTGTGCACTCACTCTCTCAGCTGGAGTCCTCTGAACGCTGTAGGAGGTAAACGCTGGGGATTTTGTTGTGAACAATGGATAGTTTTCATCAATGCTGTTGAGACACACTGCAGTTTAGATGCACAGCTTCACAATAATTACTAGGACATGAAGAATATAAGTGTGTTCAGAGTGATGAAAAGCTGGAGAAGACTCTGAAATGACTGAGGAAGCTGAATAACATTGAGAATTCTGTTTTAATAAAATTAATATCCAGAATTCATCATATCTGAAGTGAAGACCAAACCTCAAGGCCCAAGATAACTTAATAAAAAAAAAAGAATGTATGACGGACAGTTTGTAATCCACACTGTTATCATTGCTTATAAAATAACTAAAACAGTTAACAAGTGACTCCAAATTTTTTAATGGTACTGTCTGCATGAAAGTGTTCTATTTAGAACCATGAGTTCAGAAACATTTCATTCTTAAATGGTTCTTTGCATGGTGAAATGGCTCTTCAGATTGATGGAAATGTGCTGTTCATGGTGCTGTGTAGAGTCTTTTTGAAAATACTTCTATATATCACCAAAAAAGGTTCTTCTGTTGTTGCAACCATGACATCACAACAAAAGCAGAACCCTTTTTGGTGCTATACACAGCCATTTTCAAAAAGCTTCTATATAGAATCATCAAGCAACACATTCCCCATCAGTCTGAAGAACCATTTCACCATGTAAAGAACCATTTTGGCGTGGAATGGTTACTAAACAGAATTCATGGTTCTACATAGAACAATTGCCTTTACTAAAGAACGCTTCTTTCCAAGAAGCATCTTTTTAAGTGTGTACTATGACTACAGTGTAAATGCTATACATTCACTTGATGAACTCAGAACTGTAAGTACAATTATTCGCTATAACTAATTTACTATAGGCCAACTTCTAACTGTACTACAGTTGTGCTATAACTAGCTCACTCATTCCAGACCCACCATTCCTCAGCCCTCACATTTTTCATTTTCTTTTTTAAGAGTAATGGAAATGAAGGCGTGTGCAGCTGTGTTTTTTCCAGTCAGCCTACGCTGTGTGCTGTTCACTGAAGTGTCTTATTTACAGCAGAGTTCTGGATCTCTCTCTCTCTCTCTCTCTCTCTCTCTCTCTCTCTCTCTCACTCTGAACACTGAACTCTGCCAGAGTGTGAAGTCTCCATCCTGCCGTGCCGCGTGTGCTGATTGAGGCCCAGGATAAGTTGCACAATGGCTTTTCTGCAATGTGTTGCCTTCAATAAGGCCGCGCTTCGTTTTGTTCTTTCTGTGTTTCTTCCCTCTTTCTCTCCGCTGTCTCTTCTCCACCATTAACTTTGTTCTGGTTTGTTCTGGCTCGTGCCCGTCGCCCCTCCCACTCGTTCGCGCCAAATCCACCATCGCGTGACTCCACAGCGGCGCAGGCGTGATAAAACTCGCCAGTTGAAATTGAAGTCAACTTTAGTTTCCTTATAAAAATGTACAAGTTTTTTTTGCAAATCTAGGGAAGGAACGAGCGCTTAACTGCGCTATTTCAACGTACCCTTATCATTTAAACGAATTTGCTGAAGCCACGGACGATAGTTTGTAGTGAAATGGTCGACTTATTGAACGTGTTTGATTAGTAAAACATGACCCGATACGCTATCATTCAAAAGTTTGTAATCACTTGTCATGTTAATAATTTTTGTTATTTTACTCAATAATAAACAGAGTAGCATTAAGCCAGGGAGCAGAAGGTATAGATATGTGTTTTATTCAATATTTAAAATGTTGGGAAACATTAAGAAGTTCTTACATGATAAATAATACACTATAATTATCTATTTTGAGCCATTCTTTGTTAAGTTATCCGAGGCTGATGACCATTTATAAACCACAATATCAGACATAATGTGGATTTATCAAACAAATCTGTTTTATGCACGATTGAAAAGAATCCACCTTTGACTGTGCCCAGCTGTGATTCCCCTTTCACCACCATTTATCATTACTGAGGTTGAGGTTAGATCTGTTTTTAATACTCAAAACCCAAAGAAATCACCTGGACCAGATAAGCTTTGCCCTGCTGTGTTAAAACATTGTGCTTCTCAGCTGGCCTCAGTGTTTACAGACGTATTGAACATCTCTCAGAGCTGGTGTGTTGTGCCACAATGTTTTAAAGAATCAATATTTGTCCCTGGGCCTAAAGTTGCTAAAACTACTTCACTGAATGTTTTTGGACCCATTGCACTTACTTCAGTTGCTATAAAGGCATTTAAGCCTATTATCCTTACTCATCCTAAGTCACATACAGCTACAGTATTGGATTCATATCAGTTTGCTTAGCTTTATCATATTTTGAGTGTAATGTGTGAACTATGTAATGTGTTCTTTTCATAGATTTCAGCTCAGCTTTTCATATTGTGAATATCACCAAGCTCTTACCAAAAGTTAATGGATTAAACATTAACCCAGCTTTATGTCATTGGTTTCCGGTCTTTTTAAGTAGAAGAGAACAGTCTGTTAAAACAATAATTTAACATCACAGTGCTTGTCACTTAGAATGTGGTGCCACAGGGCTGTGTACTGTCTCCGTTCTCTCTATACTAATAATCTGGTATCTCACAATGAATCTGTTAAAATTGTGAAATATATAGACGATAATACAGTAATAGGCCTTATCACAGATAATAATGAGATTAGTTATTGGCAGGAAGTGAACAGATCAGTAATGTGGTGTACTGACAATGACCTCCAGCTTAGTATGTTAAAAACAGTGGAGATCATTGTGAATTATAGGAAGAAACAGAATGTAAAAACTGCAGTGCAGGTTTTGGGACAATTGATATCAGTTGTAAAGTCTTTCAAATTTTTGGGAACTTTTTCATTAGCGATTTGTTTGAAGTGGAGCATTAATTCTGATCATATCATCAAAAAATCTCAACAAAGGTTGTTCTTTTTGAGACACAACCTTGTATCCAAAAAAAAATACAAAGTAAGAAGAGATCTATTGGTGAAATTTTATTCATCCATTATCAAGAGTGTTCTCATGTCATCTATTACAGTGTAGTATGGAAACACAGAGACTCGTAATAAAATGCAAGGTATTGTCAGTAAAGCTTGAAGGATAATTGGAATATCACTTCCTTCAGTTGATTCTGTTTACATTCAGCACATCCTGAATCGAGCGAAGAGAACAAATACAGATTCCTCTCATCCAGCCAACCATCTTTTCCAACCACTTCTTTCTGCGAGGCACTACAAATCCATAAAAACTAAGACAACCCGCTTCAAGAATAGCTTTTTCCTACTGTGATAAGGTTACTAAACTCTGAGTAGTATAATTATAGTCTGTAAGATTTCCAGCTTTTGTAAGAATGCACAGATTACATTACTATACTCCTATTTCAAATGTTGTATATTGTGTATTGTACTGTATATTGTTTACTGTATGTATTATATTGAATGTTTATGTGTATTGTGCTACAGCAGAGTTGAATCACATCTTGTTGCACACATGTCGCATACAGTTATCACCGACAAGTCGTGTGGCAATAAAAAAATCAAAATTATTCTTATAAGAACTTCATTCTCAATGTTGCATAGCCTCCTCACTCATTATAGAATCTTCTACAGTTCTGTTCGTCATTCTGGACACAACTACAGCTTCTTCATTTCTTTTACTGCGTGAAAGAAATAAGTTGAAACTTGTGAAGTTGTAGAGTACTAGTATCATAATAGAATATTTTTATATGTGTATCAGCAACAACATTGGTTTTATATTATTGAAAACAGTGATTACAGTGTAGTGTATCAGGTAGGCCTATATTTATGGGATCTATTGTTCCTCAGTTCCATTTTAATTTTATATTTAGCTTCTAAATGCTGTTTTGTGTTTACTTTGGTGACTGCACATGGACTTCTGTTGCTCACACCTCTCTTTCATTTTATTTTAGACCAAATTAATCCCAAAAAAGGAGAAACGTATCTACTTTTCCTTCTGCTTGAGTTATTATTTCATTAAAGTAAAAAACAGTTATGCTGGAGTGTGGTTTCTAGATATGCCAAGAGCATATCCAGCAACGTAATATACTTTAGAAGTTGTGTTTTAATGTTGTAATCAGCATCATGCCCATATTATGAACTCTGGGTTGAAGCAGATTTCCCTAAAAGACATATGAATGACGTTTTCTAAAATCGCTGCTCTTGTGCTCTGTGATATGCAAAAATGTTCCAAACCCTAGAAGTTTTGCTGTACATACAGTTTTTCTCCAAAAAACTCACTGGGTCTTCTGAATTAAGAGGTTGTTAAGGAGCTGAAATATGACTGTTGCTATATACAAGCTAACACTGCTGCACACTGAACTTCATACTACTCATCATACAATCGGCATCCTCACCCAAATACCTCAAACCAGCAAGCTTTGTCAGGTCTGGTAGGTCAGTATCTTTGGCAGTAGCAGACTACAAAATGAGTTGCTGGTGTTGTTGTATAATATTGGTAAAGTTTAATGGGAGACTTACTTTCATGGGGTGTAATTTCAGTGTGAGCTGTGATAGCTTGTTTGAAGCACGTCCGTTGCAGTATTTGTATGTTGACTGCTAAATGACCTCATAATTCTTAGGATCAGGTGATACTGGGGTTTGGATAATTGTGCTTACTGCAGCGTGCGATAGCAGTGATTTTCAAAAGTGCATTGATTTTTCTCATAGAGG